TCATCTCCTGGAACTCGTCAACTTCTTTCTCCTTTCTCTTTAGCAGATCATTGTCTCTCTTCTCTTCCATCTCTGTTAGCTTCGCCATTATGAATGTCCTAAATTCCTTATCAGACATTTCCATGATTTTCACCGGACTGCTTGTGGATGAAGAAGAGTTACTCTTTTCCCTTGGAGGAGAGGTATTTTCTCATTTTCCCATATTTCTCATGATCCAGTGGTGATTTCTTGTCATCTGATGGATGTTGTGTTTCTTTTAAATTCTTGAAATTCAGTCTGAATGTTCAGGAGCAAGCAGATAGAGGTGATCTAGAATCTCTTTGCTGTTCTGTTGTGATCACTGGTGCAGCAGATTCAGTAGATATTTAGGAATATTTTAACCCTATTAGTATTTGGACGTTTAGCTACAGTGCTCTTAGATCCTTCTAAAAACACATTAACTGGATATGGGAGAGTGGAAAGGCAAGGAAAAGAGAAATGAAAAAGAGAGAGAGAAACAACAACAAAAAGAGAAAAAGTAAAAAAAAAAAAAAGAAAAAAATGGTAATTACTGTTATCCTTTTTAAAAAAAAAAAATCACAAAATAGAATACCTAGTTCACAGGAGCCATGTGGAACCTCTTTCTGAAGGCCTGGCTTCTTCTGCCTGGGTGGAGGACCAGAGCAATAATTAACAAGATAAAAGGTGGAGCTGGGAGCAAGAGAAAAACTTTGCCTTTAAAAAAAATGTAAAAAGGAAAAATTACAAAAAAAGAAGGGAAGACAAGCAGGGACAGACAGATACAGAGACACAGAAATAGGGATAGAAGGCTGGGGGGCTCCCTACCGCTAGCTTGTTTGCTGGAGGCTCAATTATCAGTAGAATGTCTTCATTTCTCTTGTGCCCTGCAATACCTAGTTCACAGGAGCCATGTGGAACCTCCTTCTGAACGAAGTGCTTTTGAAAATGTCTTCCCCAATGGAGATTTAAGGTGGTATGGTGATTAAGGCACTGGATCTCACATGACCGACTGCACAGTTCAAGTCCGAGACCCAGTGGCTTGAAAAATCACACCAGATGCATGCACACACACCCAAAACCCAGAGAAGAGAGCGGTGGAGCAGGAACTGCAGCATAGCCATCTCCCTTGGTGGGTGATTTCTCTCTCTCCCACACTTCCTCTCCCTTTCTTGCAAGTGTACACATGTTATAGCAAAACTAAAAAAAGAAAATTTAAGAGAATTCTGTGACCTGGTTTATTGTAACACAGATGCACATATGTTGCTAATCAAATAACACTCTCCAGGAAATCGTCTATTACATAGCAGTAAGGAAGATGCAGTTTTATCCCTTTACTACCAACAAAATCATAAAAGAGATGTCCCAAAAGCAACTTCAATAATTACCAGTGTTTAAGTAGCATTTATCATTTCGTACATAAGCAAGTGTTCCTGAAGCGTGTTTATGAGCTGAGCAGACTGCGAGGATATCCTTGTGTGTGTAAAGTACCCCAGCAGATGCTGCAGAGTGATGAAACACTGAGCGGAAGTGAGCCTGCCACTGAGGAAAGCCAGCACCGGGAGCGCCGTGAGAAGCTGCTCCACCCAGGCCCCGCGGCAGGGGCACAGGCAGTGCAGGGTGTGTGTGTGTGTGTGTGTGTGTGTGTGTGTGTGTGTGTGCATGTGTGGTGTACTTTTAGACAGGGCCATGCCACACTCATCTTTCTGCCTCAGCCACCTGAGTAGCTGGAACTGTAGGCAAGTACCACCATGCTGGGCTTTTGAGGGTGGGCTGAGACTCGAACCTGGGCATCAGCCTGAAGAGCAAACAGGGAACCACACACATACCACAGCTGGGCCTCTAAGAGGTTTTCTAAGCCTCTGACTTTCACAATGTCCACTAACTGGCCAATTCAAATCACATGACTGAACCCGACGTCAAGGGGCAGGAAAGAACATTCCAGCTACCAGGAAGCCATGCACTTTGTGGATAGAAAATTCTATTACAGAGAATGACAAGTTGGAACAAACATAGATCTACCACATTACTCTTTTCCTTCCATTTCGACATCATTTTGCTTCAATCATTCCCAATGGACACAGCATCTAACTCTTTCACCAGACTGACAATACTGTCTACACAAATTTTAGTTGTAGCATTCCCATTGATCACACTTCTGATAACTGAACACAATACTCCCCATGCAATCTGACCTGTGTCCACTTTATCTAATACAAGATTTAGTGGGTACAAGTTAAAAACGTTACTTACATACAGCACGAATCAGAAAATATAATAGAAATAAAATGGTATGGGCAAGTTTCTAAAAATAAAATATCAGCTATCCTTTTTTTCCTGAGTATTAAAGACATTTTTAAAAGAATTATTTATTTTATTTGTTGTTATTATTTTTTAATTTGACCAGAGAGAGAAAGAAAGGGAAAATGATAAAAATAAGCAACCAGGTCTAGGACTTGAACCACTGTTAGCCATGCAGGAGTCTAGCACCTTAACTACCATGCCACCTACCAGCCCCGACACAATTTTTTTTTAAAGCATAAGGCAGGTAATTCAGAGTACGAAGCCCATATTTTACAGACTATTCGAGAAGTAAACTTCTTTCTAAATTCTGTTTTCTTAAGAACTAAATTATCTTGATAATATTCTTATTAGGCCATTCTGGAGTTTATAAAGCACTTAAATACATATTCGCTGATTTCTCTGTTCTGTTTAATGTCAGAGGGCAAGTGTACTTGCCACAGAAAGAGACGGAGAAAGGAGCCCCACACAGGCCACAGGCACGCCACAATTCTCTTTCTTCTATTTCTCTAACCTGCCAGGATTTGCAGCATGCACATATACACACCCAGTGTGTTTCCCAAGCCACCAGAACCAGGGCAGGAACCACAGTCAGTCATGTGGTAGCTGGCTCCCTGTGCAGAGGCTTAACCACTGTGCTACAGAGCCAGGCAACATTTCATTTCATTCTTTTTTGAGAAAGATTTTTGCTATAGGGTACATGTACTCACTAGACAGAGAGACAGAAAGAGAGAAATCACCCCCAGGAGGGATGGCCATGTCACAAGCTGGTCTCCTTCATTCTCCTCTTGGGATTTTGGGCACACATGCACACATGCCTGGCGTGAGTTTCAGGCCACCAGGTCCAGGATTTGAACCACAATCAACTATATGGGAGTCCAGCTACGTAACCATTATACCATCTGCTGGTCCCTCACTTAATTCTTAACAACTCTGAGGTAGGCATTACTTCTGCTCATCCTGAAAGATCAGGAAGTTGGGTGTTCGATGGAAGTACAACACTCCCCTTGCCCAGAGAACAACGTCTTAGCTCCAGGCCTGTAAGGAGCAGCCCTCCTCTCTGGAACACCTGGAACGTTCTTCTCCTACAATCCCCTTCTTCTGCCCAGCTATTACTCATCCTTGTAAGTAAGTTTTTACACAAATGGTGCTTCCTCCAAAGCTGAGCCTCACTTTTACCTTTCAGTACATATTTGCTGAGTGTCAGCTGGAAACGAAGGCTCCACACGGTGCTGGGCACACAGTGGAAAGGGTCTTACACCCGCATGTGCAGCACCCAGCTGGAGAAGCAGCAGTGAACAACAGCCATACCATTAGAGCCTGTCCTTGGAGCTCTCATCATGGTGTTCATTGCACCTTATTGTAATTGGCTATCTGTATGTCCCACTACAAATGAGAGGTAGGGTGCTAACTGGGCTGCTTGGTACAATCCCTGTTGGAGAAAAATACTTAATAATTATTTGTGGAGGGGTCAGCAGATAGCATGATGGTTAAAGGTGCTGGACTCCCACATGGCTGACGTGGTTCGAGTCGTGGACCAGGTAGCTTGCTTTCTTACTTTCCCTCTCTCTCTGTCTCTCTTTCTCTCTCACTCTGTCTCCCTCTGGTCAAATTGAAATAAATAAGTAAAATAAAGATAAATAATTATTTGTGGAGTTACTGTTTAAGCCCAAAATACAAAATTAATGAGCCAGGATAAGACCAGGACTTAGGACTCCAATTCCCACACTTTCATCTCTAGAAGTATCACCAAGAAACAGCAATGATACTAATAAAACTTTATGCTAACCTACTAAACGATTCCACAGAAGAATTAACTTATACATACACAATGTTTATAAATTACGCCTGTCTGCAACATAAAACCTAGGTACATACAGGTAACATATAGCGCCCTTAGACCCTCCTGGGCGCTTCGGACTGTGCCCGCAACGCTCCCCTGGACCTCAGGCTCTTCCCTGGTCCTCACAGCCGAGACCTCCGAGTCCCTCCAAGCCGTGTCCGGAGACCTCAGTTTCTCCGCTCATTCCAGCGCCCCAACCCCAGGCCCAGCCTAACAGGTGGGAGCCTCGGGGGGCTGCAAGTCTGCAAAGCAAGGTCCGGGGCCTCTGTTTCCTCGCTTGTACCAATGAGCCCGCGCCAGCCCCCGCCCAGAGAGGGTGGCTTCAGGCCCCCGTTTCCCGACTGGCCCCAGGAGCTCGAGCTCCCACCCTCCTTCCCCTGCGTGGGCAAGCCCGCGGCCTCAGTTTCC